ATAATAACTTGGGATTTCATCTCATGATTCTCGTTTGTTTTCTTAGGTTGATCATCTAGTACGATCTCGTGTTTTAGTTGCCTGATGCTCAGCTGGCTTTTTGCTCACCACCTTCTTCGCGGGTATTTTTCTTGATACCTCTTGATATTGCTTGAAGTGATTTTTTGTAAATTCCTGTTCATTCCTATTCATGAGTATGTTTTTTGCCACATAGTCGCCATCTTCAAGAATGATCCTTACTACGATCAGAATTACTTTCTTATTACTTTCTTATTTTAAGATTCGTAAGTCCAATATTGGACATCTAAGATAGTTTTCTCACTCTTGTTTTGAATTTTAAATTCCCAAAGATGTTCTAGATAGCTTCCTAATTTTTGTTCCTGATTTTCAAATTTTAGAACTGGGTTTCTGAAGCGTTTTTGAAGTATTTTCTATTTGAAAAAACCTTCTGCTGTAAATCTTAATTTTCTCGCCAAATGGTGTCTCAAAAGGAAGGGGGGAGACTAGAATTGGAGGTGGAGAGGAAGCAAGGGGGTGCTCAACAGAGGGAGGTCTTTTAAGGTGAGTAGGTTAGAAGGATGATGCTGGGACGACATGGACCGGTGCTGGAGCTTTTTGCTCTGTGACCCAGGGGGGGCTTGAGGTCCATGGAGTTCGCCGAGGGTGGAAGGCATAACCAGATCGTCCAACGTAGCTGGCGCCGGGATATTGACCCTGTAACCTGTTTAGGGGTTTGCCGCTAAGGGAATTGTCCTGTCCGTCAGAACTAGGTTGGCCGGTACTGGGGAGTGTTGTGGTGCCCTGTTACCCTAGCAGAAGGGGGTATGAGATCGAGTGAGTTTTGGTACGAGGACTGAAAGCCTGAACTGACGGTCTGTCTGTTGAAGGGGGGAGCTTAGGATAGTTGGTAGTTCAGTTTTGACCCCCAACTCTTATATTTTCTAAGTTTTTTTGCTCTTTTGAACCCTATCTTATCTCGGGAGGAGAGTCTTGAAAAGTTGGGCGGCGGTGGACCTAAGAACGTTTAGGGTTCTGCGACTCCTATTAACTCTTCCTAGGTGGCTTCGATGCTGTTATTCTCAGTGGTCTGCGGCTGTTCGATGCCAGAACGACGCTGGCCGGTGCTGGGGTGGTGCCCTGTAACCTGGTGATGCAGGAGCGCAAGGCCTGGTAGAGAGATCTGGGGATGCTTTGGGGTGGGCATCTCACGGGACAACCGAGGGTTGCTGTTAGGACGACGCTGGTCGGAGCTGGGGTGAGTTGTGCTGCCCTGTAACCCAGCGGGAAGTGGGGGTGTGAGACCTGGAAGAGCTCGGCAGGGAGTAAGACAATTTTGGACAACATTGGGAAGGTTTGTTAGGAAGTTTGAGCTTTTCGGAGCATTTTTTAGGACTCCGGCGGTCTATTCTCATGCCTCTCGAATTACTGTATGTGTTTATAGGTATTTCAAAAAGAAATGAGGTGAGTGGGAGAAGGAGATGGTGGGATAGCACGCGTCCTACGAGTGAGGGGGCTGGCTGGTAGGATCGGAATAGGGTATTGCAGCAGCAGAGATGGTGGCTCTGCCGCAGTAAGTCTTGCCGGAGTGAGGTGCAGAGGTTTGATGGGGGATCTTCTGAGCTGTTTTGAATTCTGCTTATTCTTGAAGTCCTGTCGTAGTCTTTTCCTAAGTAGCTTATCTTTCTGAGCCGAAGCCGGGTAACGGCCCCGGCACCCCAAAGTTCCAAATTCAAAAAAGGTGAGTGGGAGAAAGAGATGGCGGGATATCACGCGTCCTGCTAGTGAGGGGGCTAGCTGGCAAGATGGAAATAGGGTATGGCGGCAGCAGAGATGGTGGCCCTGCTGCGGTAAGTCTTGCCGGAGTGAGGTAAAGAGGATTGATGGGGGGGGGTTTCTAAGTCATTTTTTGAATCTGCCTTATCTCTGGTGTTTGTCTTAGTCATTTCTGAATAGCTCCCAAATTTTTCTGAGCCAAAGCCGGGCAATGGCCCCGGTATTTCAATTCTATGCAAATTTCTATATGGGACGCTGAGCCCGGTTCCCAGCACGTGCTGCTCCCCACGAATAGATTGGAGCTGTTCCCATTAAAAAAATAAAATAAAAAAAATGGTAGTTGGAGATTGGCAGAAGGGGAAGGGCTAGTTGATAGCAGCACACATCTGGCGCCTGGTTCAGGGCGAAGAGGTTCTTTTCCTTCTCCAAACCTCCTACTCAGTCAATCCTCTGGATATTATCTTAAAAAAAGCGTTGTTTTTCAAAGATAGGGAGTGGGAGGAACCAGGACGGGATAGCAGATATTTGGTGCCAGGTTCAGGGTGAAGAGGTCCCCCCCTCCCAACCACCTGCTCAGTTAATCCTCTGGACCCCAGGGTAATCAATGCTGGCAGGATGATTTGATTTGATGTGATTTAAACTTGGTTATGTAAGGGACGCTGGACCCGGTTTCCAGCAGGCGCTGCTCCCCACCAATAGATGGAGCCCTCCCCAGGTGCTAGCGGTGTCTGCTCTTACCAGCACCACTAGCACCGACGGGTGCATTGTTAAAAAAATGAATAAATAATTAAAATAAATAAATAAATAACATAGGGTTGTAGATCTCAAAAGGATCAACAACTATATATATATATATATATATATATATATATATATATATATATATATTTGTGCATACTTTTTACCCGAATAAAACATATCCCCGCGCCCGCTCAAACCCCGCTCAAGCCTCAAAGTGCTTTGAGCGCCGAATTGAGCGGCACTCGAAAACTTCAGCGCCGACCGTGCACTCAATCAGTGCACGGTTTCATAGCGTTCTACAGCAGGTCAACACTGCCGGCCCCAGCAACACTACAACTAATTTTCCTAAGGCAAAAGCTGTTTGTTTGTTTTTTTCCAAAAAAAAAAACATGAAACGTATGTGATTTTTTATTTTAAATTCAGTAACGTTTTTGGATATGACCACAAGGTAAAAGTTGTTCAGTATATTTTTCTGCATCACATATTTTTTTTTCAGAATTTTTTGAATTCTTTTTTTTTTTTTTTTTTTTTTTTCATGGCCGTGGACTGCGGACACGTCCGCGGGGTCGCAGCCTAGGCCGCGCCCGCGGACTTGTCCGCGGATGGCCACCACCGAGGGGGATTCGTAGCTATCGCCTGCTCTGGCAGGACCCTCACCACACTTCTCTGAGCTTGACACCAGGCTCAGCATCCAGAAAGCCACAAGTAGACGATAAGATACATGCCCGTTTTACTGGTCCTTTTTCTATGCTAACTGAACAGCCTCTTGGTGGTAAATCAAGACCTGGAGGACAGAGAATGGGAGAGATGGAGGTTTGGGCCTTGGTTGTGGTACTTTCCAGTGCACCTAGTGCCTCATTACGCCCTTTCATGCCATCAGAGTTGATTGCAGCTTATACATTACAAGAGCTACTTACTATCAAATCTGATGACATGAAAGGGCGTAATGAGGCACTAGGTGCACTGGAAATTACCACAACCAAGTACTACACCAGAGTCTTTTAAGCTTCTTATGAGAGAGTCGTTGTCTACGTTTAAGCACACATCATTGTAGTTTGTCTGAAGAGAATCTGAGTATAAGAACCCTCATGGCAACGAAGACCGTTCCACTGTTTCAACATCCCATATCTTCACCCTAACTCCGTTCTCGTCTCATAACACAACATAACAGAGTGCCTGCCTGCTGCTCACCCGCCCCTTCACTGCCGCCTGCCCCAAACACTCCCTCCCCAAAGCCTAGAAGACATTCTTGCCCCATGTGGCACTGCCCTTCCTCCCGCACTGCCCCCCCTCCCCCCACCTCGGCCCCTCTTCCCTCCCTCACTCACCCGGCGGAACTGGGAGGCCCGGAGAGCGGATGAAGCAGCAACCGCATGTGAGAGCTGACCGATTGCAGATATATTCCAGCAGAGAAACTGCTACATGGAGAACGATCGACAACGCATCTGGCAGGTGCACTACACAAGTGGCACCGTTGCCTAAAGACGCAGAGCTGACAGAAAGCAATGGTTCCCCCTGTTGAGGACATCAAGACAACAGCAGACAACAGCAGCCACGACATGACAGGGACCGGGCAGGGGAGATATGGTGTACTGGTCTCGACAGGTACAGCGAGGCCTGTTGCCCCCCTGAAAGTTACAATGCACTACAGTTCTATAACAACTGAGATCACAACATACTACACCGCTTAATGTTTAAGTGTCCAGGGATGCTGGACCTGGTCACGGGTCAAATGTCAAGGAACACTGGACCCAGTTTCCAGCAAGTGCAACTCCCCACCAATGTAACAGAGCCATCCAACGGCGGAGTCAGTAGAGGGGGTGTCTGCTCTTACCAGAACCCCCCCCACTCTGCACATCCAATGTTTCACCAAAAAAAAAAAAAAGAAAAAAAAAAGAAAAAAAAAGCCACCACAGAACATTGTGCATACCCCCCTCCCCCTCCCCCTCCCCCCGAAAGAGTAACGCTAGGCTACCAGAGTGGCCCGGGACCACTTGCCCAGCAGGGCCATAAGAATAAAAACAATAAAAATATGATAATACTATCATAATAGTTCTTTTATTTTATTTTATTTTTTTTAATTCGTAAAGAATTTCGATGTGACCCTGAGGGAAAAGTTGTTCAGTATACGTTTCTGCATAACATATGTCTTTTGCAGAATTTTTGGAACTTTTTCTTTTGCTGGGACCTTCTGTGGTAGTAGCCGGCCAAACAGGTGACCCGGGGAGTCCGGCTCGCAGCCTAGAAGTAGGGTACCCACAACAGTTGGTTGCTCTTCCAAAGCCAGCCTCAGAATCACAACAGAATGATTTACAACACGGAACTGGCGGTTTGGATCACATTCTTCACGGACGACTACTACGCAGCATTCGCATCCGCATCACACACGTACCAAAACAAGCGTGCTGACAAAACGAGGAACAAAAATGAAGCATGCTCACCCGTTCATAAAATCTGACACAATTGAATTCATAGAGACAGTGCTATCTGTCAAGCAACGCAACTACCTCCTCTTCCATCTTCATCATCTTCACCTTCTTCTCCCTCCTCCTCCTCCAAGTACCTCCCCCCCCCCTCCTCCTTTAGAAAGTGTGGATAACACTGCGTACAAGCAAATGAAAGTATCCAAATTTTCCTCTGAGAAAAACAAAATTCCTCGTCTTTTTCCTTCTCCTCCTCCCTCCTCCTCCTCCTTCCCTTCTCTCCTCTTTTTGTTAGAATCCACACTGCTACATTAAATCGACGCACGGAATGGAAATGTGCTATACAGTTTCACATGCTAAACGGTTAAACTCTGTGCTTCCTTCACGCAATACACAGATCTCCCCTTCTTCCTCCTTCCCGTGTCTCCTCTTGTAGAAGAATCTGCACCACTACATTAAAACGAGGCATACAATGGAAATGTGCTATACATACACAGATCTTCTCCTCCTCCTCTTCCATTCTCTCCTCTTTTTGGAGTGCACAGATCTTTTCCTCCTCCTCCCCTTCCCTCCTCTTTTCCTTCTTTTCCTCCTCCTCTCCTCCTCCTTTCAGAGTGTTATACGAAGGTGCACCCACCCTGCGGAGCTCTGCTACGTTGTTTACTTACACAGAACACCATCGGCACTTTGTCCTGATCTTGGTTGGCCACAGTTCTACGACAACTGTGCTTGTTTTTTGGTGTTTTCATATGAAACAAAAAATTGCAGCAAGCATTATCTATGGTGACTGTAATCTCAGCACTATATAACTGAATTTCCCAACGATTGAAACACCGATAGATAACATGTAAGCTATGTAATAAAGAAGAGAGCAAATATAGTAATACGTGTGGGGAGAGTATGAGAATTCCACACCCGCGGCATAAATCACTCCAACACACTTTCTACATTCTAAACCATACCCCATGATTCCCATCCCACCACCTCTCCCCCTACACCCCCCCTCCCCAATGCTCTAATCATACCACCTACAGACATCACCCCCACACACAAACACACTCTTTCTGTACAAAACCCTCTGTTGTGTCCCCTCCTGCTATCCACCACTTGCCACACAGTCACATCTCCTGCATCTGCCCAAAGCTGGCTTGCTCGCTGCTACATGCTGTGCAAAGTAGAGTCATCAGCAAACAATGCACGACCGCTTGGGGTCCAATCCCCTCCCTCTTCACCACCACCACCCTCTTGTCGTTGGAAGTATATATTTTTCGTTTTCTCCTTTTTGAAACTTGGCCATGGTTGGTTCTCCATCACCACCACCCCCTCCTCTTGTTCCTGCTCGTGCTTCTCCTCCTAGGCACACTCTCTTCCTTCACCAGCAGTGACAACCTCATGCTCCGCCATTCAGCCTTTTCCCGTCATGTGTTCTTCTCTTCAGTATTTCTCAACCGGCGTGCCCTACTCTTCCTCGTCCTCTTGCTCTTCCTCATCCCAGTCTACACAGGCATCGTGCGCTGCAGCCTTCAACTTGGTGAGACCACTTAGTTCCTCCAAATACAAGGGGTCATTAAAAACCCGCAGGAGGAATTCTTCTCGCCTTCTCCTATACGCATCCACTACATGATGGGAGCAAGCAGTGCAGCGATCAAAGGCCTCCCCCACTACCATCATCTGCGCAAAATGGGCCAGAAACCCCCTCACTTGATGGGGAATGATGCCAAGTGGCAGATCTGTACTGACCATCACCGGCATGGGCTGATCAGCAGCCGCTTCCACGCCCAACGGATGGTGCAGTAGACTAACTACGAGCTCAACAGCAAGAGCTGCAGCTATGGGAGCCAAGCCAGGCCTGGTCACAGTGCATTGTTGATCTAACGTCCGATTTGTTGTCGAATCAAGTGGCGCAACTACATCATTACAGAAATAACAACCCAACCTTTTACTGGAGGCCTGCTTTCCATGTGCAACAATTGGAGGACCAATGCTGTCCTCAGGTGGCACGCCAAGATTGCCTCCAGCCTCCTCATGACCACTGTGTCTACTGCTGATGCCATCTACCTTATCCCGCGATTTGCTTTCCGCATCTGAAGCCTTCCATTCACGGTTGCCAGCACCTTCGGGATCGCTGGGACAAAGTGACGACGGGGAGGAACCATGCCGCATGACGAGGAAGGTATCGAAACCCAAAGCAACATTGATGGCCAGCTTGTTGGCACTTGCACACATCAGCGTCGGTAGCCATCTGCTCTCCCTCGTGTCTGTCAACAAGAAGATGGCATCGTGATCATCGATCAGCTGCTTGAGATCTTTGCAAATCTGGCTAACTGACTCCTCGTCCTTTTGCAAAACTGGGTGCCCTGGCATCGGGATGGCCATCTGAATACCTTTGGCCGTGACACCTGGGAAAATCCGCTGAAGGCGTTCAGCTGCTGCCAAGGCCTTCGGTTTGCCTCCTCCCAGGCAATCCTCGAGCTCGTATAAGGACTGCCGTAGTGGGTTGGACATGGAGACACGCCCATAGTCAACAATGGTGATTTGGCGCACACCCCAGGCCATCAGCCCACGGGCCACCTGGCAGCCCAAGGTGCCAGCACCAAGGAGCAAACAGCGGCATTTGTTCAGCACGGATATGTTCAGTGAAGGAAGGAGCCGCCACCTCATCAGTTTCAGGTTCAGGTCTGCTGCTGCCAGAGCTAGCTGTCGCGAATCCATAACCGGGGAGAGATCGACAAGCCTCGGACTCATCTTCCCTTGACGATTCTTTTCCCAGCCGACTGCCTCAGGACAAGGGAGGTTGGCAAGACCCCCCGGCGTTTCTTCGGGACATGGTGGGACCAGCACATCAATCACAGGGCAAGCAGCGGGGTCAAACCGTCCTTTCCTTTCTCGATAACACAACACGCGCAGACGCTGGACACGCCACCGAACAGACGCGAGGACGAGAAGATTGCGTAAAGGCCAGCCAGGGTGGGTGGGAAGGTGGCATGGGTCAAAGAATGCAACAACTACGTTCCCCGGACCACCAACATCGTGGCAAACATCCTCCCACCCATGCAAGCTTGCAACCAAAACAGACTTTTTACCGGGGATAAGCCCGATGAGGAAAAACGGGGCCCCGCCAGAGGTTACCTCCTCCACACGTGTCTGTCGTTGCAAGGAGACTGCAAATGGGGATAACAATGAAGCCGATGACTCGACAGATGGATCTGTCGAGTCACCATGCAAAGATGCAGCAGCAGCAGGAACAGAAGGCACTTCTTCTACACAGTCAATGCTGTGCCCGTCACGCCACCGTCTGCATGCTGCCGATACGCGGGCAACATCTTCTTCTGCCTGTGCTGCAAAAGCCTCTGCTGCGCTCTGAAGGCGGAGCAGCCTGGCAGGCTCTCTGAGGCTCAGGGCCGGAAATGCAAACCAGTAGTAGAACTTCCACCCTTTGAGATCAGCAAAAGACAGGACCAAGAAACGGTTAAGCAAAGATGGGTCTTTCTCCGCCCTCCCAGACAAGATGTCATCCCATATCTCCCTCGCACAGGCCTTAAGAACCACAGTCTTTTCAACACCTTTGAACTCTTCGAGAGTGTTTTTGTTCAGCAGCACACCGGGTGAAGGGGTGCGATTTCTATTCCCAAACACCCGATCGAGAGGCACGGATTCTCTGATGACGGCAGGAATGACAGGAGAAGAACTCGTCCCATCTAACGGCAATGCTGGCATCGATTCTAGCCCGTCTCGGTGTGTAGTTTCTCCCACTACGGAGTCACGGACCGGAAAACTTGTCGAAGACGATGACGCGGACGCTGATGGTGTGGTTAACGACGACACGTGGGCAGAAGATGCAGACGAGATGTCATCAACCGATCCCGATGGTTTGGGAGAGAGAGAAGTCAGGATGGAATCGTCGCAAAGGGAATCGGAGAGAAGCCTTAGGCAAGAGGGCACATGATCATGGCTACAAGGACTGAAAAACCCAATGACCTGCCGTGGGGCATCGCTCAAGCGATACATGTCCATTTTCGCTCGGGCCATGTGCTCCCAGAACCCAACCTCCACGGAGCTTTGCCATGGCGCAAACTGCAAGAGCTTAGGTTCTTCCTGACCCTCCGAAGGAACTGATGATGGAACTTTCCTCAGAGATGCAGCCATTTTGTCAACGTCCTCATCACCACCACTAACTGAGCCTTTCTTTGTCCTTAGTGAAACATACTTTGGGACTGGATAAACTAAACCTCACCGAATCTCAACTCAGTGCTCAGTATCCATTATTGGGCAGCTGCTACAAGGACCTGAAAACAACGACGAACAAGACTTTTTGATCTCCAAATGAACCTGCCGATAGACCCGCTCCCAGCGTTGGACCTCTCCACAAGATGGCCCTTTCGATCTCCAGAGCGCCCTGCAAAAGATGGACCTTCAGTCCTGGAAACACACCCCTCACCTTTCAATCTTAAGATGGACCGCTGACCCTTCGATCTCAAGACGGACCTCTTACCTTTATACCTTGAGATGGACCCCCGACTTTTCAATCTCCAGAGAACCTGACCTTCCAACCTCAAGAGGCACCTGTGGATGGACCGCTCCTGAAGATGGACCGCTCCCAAACATGGAACTATCCCCAAAGTGGACCTGGTTATGGGCCTGGAGGAGGGCCCTTTCAATTTCAACAGGGTCTGCTGATGGATAGCTCCCCAAGATCGGGCCGTCCCCAAGATGGACCCCTCCTGAAGCTGATGGGCCACTTCCCAAGATGGACCGCTCCCCAAGAGTGACCTCCTGATGGGCCTGCAAGATGGATTTGTCAATCTCAAGTTGGTGGGCCAGCTGGTCAACCGCGGCTCCGGTTCCAGCGCCAGAAAACGGACCGTTTCCCAAGATGGACTTTTCCCCAAGATTGACCTGCTTATGGGCCTGCAAGGAGGACCTTTCAATCCCAAGATTGATCTGTTGTTGGAGCGCCCCCCAATATGGATTGCTGCCCAAGATCGAGTTGCTGATCGACCCCCAAGATGGCCCTTTCAATCTCAATAGTGACCTGCTAATGGACCGCTCCCCGAGATGAACCCCTCCCCGATAGGGACCGCTCCCCAATATGGACCTGTTCATGGATCTGTAAGATGGTGCCTTCAATCCGATTTCTTTCACTCGCATTTCTGCTGCTTTACCACTCCTCGAGGATCCAACCATCTCTTGCAGAATATGCGAA